ATCAGCACATTCAGCATCTCTCAACTACCTCATGGCAGCTTCAAAGGAGAGAAAAACAGCTTCTAGAAGGTTTTTTTAAATTTTCTTAGAAGGAAAATTTTCAGTGTAAAAATATTACTTCTCTTATGAACACTGGGAATGTTGTTCAAAAAGAATAAGAGTATATGTGTTTAGTTCACTAAAAAAATACCACAAAACAAAAACAAGAATGAAGAAACAAAACTTATTTTTAATCTTACTTCAAAAACACAACAATGGATCAGTTATCCTATCAGCAACCATGGCCAACAGCAGGTGTCAGGTATAGTTCAAACCTATACTGGTATTTTCCCACTCTCCAGATAGACAGAACTGGTCTCTGTAGGTGACTTAGAATCAATCAGCCTATGTATAGTGTGACTGAAAATAGTGACATGCACATGGTTTGTACCAGGAATAATTTAAATATTAGCTAAACAGATAATTCCTAAATGCCAGATTAGACACATTTTCATTTATTCATCTATACTCATTTATTTTGAATAAGTATTTCAGGAATGCAAAACAAACTTACTCGTTCTTTTGAAAATGCTATATTTTTAAAAAGCAGCAGAGTGGATTAAGAGAAAATAATCCCACCACTGACAAAAGCCAGATGGAAGCAAGAATGCAAAATATTTGTGTTAATAGCATTTTGCTGGAAAATCACAAACCTCTCTACAGAAAGTAAGATATTTGGTGCTCATACACGGAGTCTGTGAGCTGCAAAGGTTAGTGAAGAGAGCAGTGCAACATCACAAAAAGCAACAATGAGGATGGCTGTGCAGGATACTGTGCTGCTCCTCCTGAAGGTTCTGTACTTTCTCTTCTCTCTATGTTTGCTTACAAGCACATCCCATAAAACTGCCTTTACACCTGAACTAGTCTGAAGTTTCCAACATACAAATTACTTTTGTTTTCAATTTGTCTCCTGAATCCATTATTCTACCATTACTGCTGTTATCCTGCAGGTGTAAACCCAGTTTAGAGTATTCCAGTTACTCCCATCCCCACCTTTCATGGTGTCATCTCTGGTATCAGCCCCAGCCCTGCATCACAGTTCACATTGCTCACTGCTGAACAGTGAAGTCGAAAGAGCTACATGGGGGAATCAACACTATTTATGAGTACCAAACCCCTACATCGAAGCTGACCACAAAAAAGCCAAAAATAAACATTTATATCTCTATTTTTAAGCTTAAGCTTTAAAGCCTGGTTCTCAGAATGATGGATCCTGTGTATTTCCCAGGAAGACAGGTGGCTATGCAAAAATTCAGAATTGGGAAGAAAAGTGTCACTTGATATAGCATTATGTTAAGTGCTTGGAAGATGCTGGCTCTGGCCTGCTTAATACAGGAAGGTATTCTGCAAGTGTCTGGAATATGCAATAACATTCTAATGTTTACCCTGATTTTCAAATAGGCCCTCAGAAAAAAACAGACAACAGTCAAATCCCCCTCTACTGCTACCATCACTAATACAAATAAATATTTTGCAGTATAGCTAAAACATCAGGTCCTTGAGAAAGAATACAAGTCTTTTTTTCCTACTGAAAGCCTGCATATTATTTTGATGAATTATATGTCAGAGATTTGCTTGGCTGGTCCAACAACGTGAGGGAATGCTTTCTCTGCTATAACTAGAAAAATGGTTATTCCTATTCAGCAAATTAATTATGCCTTGGCTTTCCTCTGAGGAACTCGCTTTGGAAGGGGGTTAGGCAACACCTTAAAAATAACACAGGCTGGATACTTTTTTTATTCTCTGGGAAGGTCTGTTTTAGTAGACATCACTCTGAGTAAACACTGGAAAGAGAATCTGACTGTTTTAATGCTCAAAATAACTAAAGCTAAAATATTAAATAACAGTTTATAAGCATAAGTAATCTAGGTGTAGAATACTGGTAACTGACAACTTTCACCACGCAGAGAAGCTGGGACATGTAATGTCAGATGTAACTAGGAAATACCTTCACAGAATACATGTTGTTAATTATATCAGTGTAGCTCTAGGTTCCCAATGCTTTGCTCACATCAAAATTTTACCTGCAAGTTAAATACAGCAGATGGTGTTCCTTTTTTCAATCCAGAAGTAGTTCATGATCATTCACAAAATAACAAACAGGAACACAACAGTCACTGCTAGAGAACTACTAACTACTGAATGCCATTAACAGCTGCTGTATCTCTTTCACATCAGAAGTAGTTAAGTTTTTTCCTATGCACACCCAGGAGGAGCTAGTTTATTTAGGGTGAGACACAGGCTTTGCCCTTCTCCTGCCTAAGCACCATACACATTTTGGCACTCAGGTCTCAGTTCAGACTTCAAGCAAAATGTTTTGCATTGGAGAAATACTCTTTTCAAGTCTCAGCTGTACTCCCAAAGTCTGAATGGAAACACGGAAAGTTCAGGTTTCTCCGTGGATTTTGGCTGGTGCCTAAGATTTCAGGGTATTTTTACTTCTCTTAAAATTAAATCCATAGTCTTAAGACTCTTGACTGCACAAGGTCTGTAAACTCCCCTCAAATTTGCTAAAATTGCAAACAATATTGTGTAGAGAGGACTAAAAGGAATTCACCCAAGTTTTAAGGAAGACTATCTTGAAGATCTCTTGCTCAAACAGGTAGTAATTAGTATTTTCATGTAGTAATTAGTATTTTATTTCCCTTAAAAATGAAGATGGCACATTCTGGAAAGCAGATCCTCCATTTGCCAGGGGACTGACTTAAAAGCAAAGTTAAGCCTTTAAGCAAAGGGCAAATTATTTCCAACATTCTCTTTACTAATGGTAAGGTCTCCCAAGGAACTAAAAATTGCATGGCTGGGAAAGCACTGATGGACACTTAAGAAAGGGAACTAGAAAACTGTGCAGTTCATTTAAAACATTTTGTTTTCAATTAACTGATCAACCTAAATCTTACTTAACAGCTGGGTATGACTCATTAGGCTCCAGCCACTCCTCTATGCCAAAGCACCTTCCAGAGTGTGGGGAGGATGGCTTAGCATCTGACTTCATGTAAACTCATTCAATCTGAGCTGACCCCTGAATCCACAGCCAGGAGCTGGCACAAAGAAAGCAGAGAAAGGGATTTTGAAACCATGTCAGTAGATAAAGTGAACCAATGAACAACGTGGAACAGTATGATCTGATGCAGATTCCCTTATATATACCACAAAAGTACTTTTCCTAAAGCTCAACCACAGGGATGTCCTTTAGCACCCGCTATGGTGACTATTTATTGAGCAGCTATCAGTGTCTACATGATGTATATTTAACCATATACCCTATTGCTGTACATAAATTATAACTTCACCATTAGTTCTGAGAGCTAATTTATTAAACACCAGTGTGTAACATAAGGTGCTCAACAGTTAACTCAGTGGAAAAACTGATCAAATTGTTCCTCTGCTGCTTCTCCCTCAGCCTGCTGCCAGGACTCAGGGCAGCTGCCAAGGGGGCACACGCTCTTGACACTTGCAGAGAAGTTAAACCGGCATCTATCCCACTGGGGTTCTCTGCTTTAGCAACTCCATACCTTTAACAGTTTGAACAGAAATCAGGACTTCTAAAGCCAACCAAGACAAAAAACCAAAATAAAACCAAACACACTTCCTCACCTCCAAAAGAAAAAAAACACAAAAACAAAACCCAAAAAAACCCAAACCATATGCTCCATTCATCTCTTGCCTTTTCAATATTGTCAAGACTGTAAATATTTCTATCTTCACACCATCTTGCTTTGCTGTCTTGAATCCCCCCTTTATTTTTTTATGCATTGCTTTCTTTGCTGCTGGAAAACTCAGCGTCCTCTAGCTTTCAAAATCACAGAGACACAAAAAACTAATTGATTCAAGACAAATTTTTTGTCCTGTCCACAAGAAGAGGAGGTCCTTTCTCATCCCTCTGTACCTAACATTAGCATGCCTCTTAGGAATCTGCAGTAAAACATTAAATGTATTTGAAGGAAAAGCTTCATAGATACTAAAAGCTATTTTTCAGTCTGAAGTTATGAAGCAAAATTATTATTATATATGAATCCACAAATAAAAAAGAAAATTAAAGTTTTCATGATTTTGTTTCAAGACTATTCCAATTTAGTTTCAGGTGACTGTGTTTTTGACCAAAGGACATCCTGGGTCAAAGGAGGCTCTGTACTGAATGTCTGTGTAATCTAAAATGTGACAAAGTAAACATAAAATATATTTATTTCCTTTGCACTTCTAAGGCAGCAAATAGCCCAGTTTACAATTGAAGAGTAGATAGTATATTGCAGAGAAAAACATTTTTGTTGACTTCAGTCCATATCAAACAGAGGGGTTTGTCACAGAACTTTCATATTTATTCCATTTTATTTTGGCTTATGGTTCAGTTTCTTCCACAAAGTTGCATAAACCTGTAAGAGACAGCATTGAAATGAAAATGAAATGGAACCAAGAAAAACAAGCAAATAATTCCAACTAGATATTTTTTTCTGGGGAAAGAATTTAGAGGAATAGGTATCTCAGGAAGATCCTCTCTCACAGGAATATGGAAAACCAGGTAAATCAGATTACTTTCACCACAACGTCTAAAGAATTTCAATTGGCATAAACTTCCCCAGATGTTCTAAAATAGTACAATAGTGTTTATTCATAAAAACAAGACATTTTAGTCCAACAGAGAGAAAAACGAGATTTAAGTATAATTTGGAACAGGAGGGCAACTTAGTGTTCATGAACACCAAGGTAACTCAAATTAATGCTTCCATCCCACACCATGTTTTCCCTCCCCTCCATTTAACTAATAAACTGTCAGTTCATTAGGCTTTAAAATACAAAGCTATTCCATCATGACTGACTTATTTCTAACAGCTACAAGCCCTCAGTTCAGTTTGTTTATATTAGTTTTAGCCTGTTTAAAGCAGCAGCATTTACTCAGAATGCTAAAAACATTGTGCCTAAAAAGATACGCCACAACTCTGAAATACATTTAGACTCACTCTTCCTTCTGACATCTTGCTTTCAGTAGAGATCATGGTAACAACCACTTGTCAAAAAACCAGTTTTCCCTGCTATGAAACTCAATACAACTGTTCAAAAAATTCCACTCTGCAGCTGCTGCAAGAGAAAAGTCCAAACTTTACCAACAGGCATCTGGACTCAGTGCTTGGAAATAATCTGGGAAATGAGTTTTACCTCGACTTGAATAGACTTATAAACTAGAGTTTTGTTGGCATTGTTTATGTCAGAGGAGATCTGTAAGTAGCAAAGGGTACATACCCTTCAGCATCAGCCCATGTGTGTCAGCCAAATGACATAAATGGCACAGCATTAGTGCAAAATGCAGGAAGAAAGCAGAGGGTACATTTCTCATGAGATATAGGTGTGTGAGAAGAAAAAACAAGTAAATCCTGCTAGCTGCAATATCAGAAAAGGGAAAGTGGATAATGAATTGACCAATTCTATTACATTACTTGGGCCAAGGCACCCACCAGTTCTGAAGTATCACTCCCTCTGATCTATCTATGGACCCTTGAGGCTCTCTGAGTCCTCTCCCATTAAGATAATCACCTCTCATAAGGAATATTTTTAAATTAACTAATGACACTGAAAAAAAGGAAGAGTCTATGTTTGCTCACTGAATTGCTTCTCAAGAAGTAGTGCAGGCTAATCCTAATGCACTAATGCAAAAAAGTACCATTGTCTCCATGAGTTTCAAGTTTTTGCAATGAGATTTTTTACAAAGACACTAAAACTGCACCAAGACCCCAGTCTCTTTGGCCTCCTTCTGCCCAGGCACTGGGAATGTAATCCAGTGGTGGGCTCTGTTCTTGCTGGTTTTAACAGGAATAGGATGGGATTTTTAAAATTGGGATGATTATCAATAGTAGGGAATTAACACAAGTCAGATGAAAAGAGAACAGTAAAGCTTGCAACCTCCTGCTTTGTGGTTGGAAACACTAAGAGCTGGAGAACACTGTTTACACACAGTAATGCATCATTACAGCTCATTTATATCAGAGGAAAGGCTATGAACATCTGTTACAGTACAGGCATGAAGTTTCTAAAAGAGTCTCTCCTTTCATTCCAGAATCTTTTTGTTACTATTGCAGTACATACCTTCCCCAGCTGAACAAAGCTTGTCTCCCTTTGCTAGTGGTAAGAAAAAAAAATATCTTCACATACCTTATGGAACAGGACACACTGGAGATTCAGCAGCTGCTTGAGGTAAATAAGATCAAGGCTCTTTTTATTCCCACTCCTCTCAAACTGTATCCTTGCTTGCTAACAGCCACTCTTTAAAAACCAAGAACTCTGTAATATTAAATATGTTTGTAACCTTCAAAAGAAAAGAGTACATTCAAAATTAGCTATTTAAAATGAAACTGAAAGTATACTACTTAGTGTTTCACAATTTATCACAGACCAAAGCATACAAAGAGATGAAATTATTTTAAAGGCCAACTTCAGAATCACTATCAAGATTCAAATTTCCATTTATAAGGTCTACCTCTCCTCATTCCTACCATATGCTTAGTCCCTCAATTTAGAAAAGCCTCAAATCAAAACTTCTTTGAAAAAAATGATTAAAATATTTACATTTATTTTAAAACAAAAATATTGGCTAAAGTACTTTTATTATGATGTCTTGCACCTGAATGTGTTGATCCATTATGATCTCAGTAAGAAAGAATTTATCATTTAAAATGCTATTTTGAAGGTCTAACACTCTAAAGAGAGCATAGTATAGATAATTTCAGATCCCTTCAGATGGTAGGAACCCCTGGGGGTGTAGCATCAAACTGGCCTCTGGTCCATGCTGGGCAAACCCCCTCCATGGAAGAGATTCTCCCCTTCCGGTCATGAAGATTCTACCACAGGAGAGACAAACACTCTGGCACTCTGTTGGTCATTCTCACTATCAAACAAGGCATGTTCAGGAAAGAACTCCCTGCTGCATTCCCTAATACCAGGCAGGTAGCTTAACTCCTGGAATTAGGTGGGAGCTGCCTGCAGGCTGCTCTGTTGCAATGAGCTGGCTGAGTTCATCCTGTGGCCAAGGGGTTTGTGCACCACAACACAAGCCCAAAGGTGGAGCTGCACCCCAGCTCAAGTTAAGTGCTCCCTGGATCACTAACTCCTTGATGTCCAATGGCCTTCCAGTCAGGATCACTGCTACAGGTGGTAATACTTACTGAGATGAGCATGTACAGTTTCATTCTCGTTGAATTTTTTCCTTTTGGTGATCCATTGATGCTTTCATAGTGTCACACACAAGATGTCATCACCTGTTGACCAGTCCTAAGGAAACAGAGTGTGTCACACAATGGAGTCCCTCCAGGTGACTGCCTTCCCTTTGACTGCAGTGGATCCGGCAGGAGAACAGGAGTGTGCTGTTTATGGCAAGGCTGGGTTGGAGCTGAGAGCTCTAAGGGGCACCACAACTCGACTTTCCTGGGATTCTGGATTTCCAACACAGAGTTGTTAATGTTGCAGTCGTTCCTCCAGCACCCTCTAGTGCTGCCGGGAGCTGTGACTCGTTATTATAACAGGAACCTGATCTCACTATAAACCAGCCCTCCCCTCTTGGCAGAGCTGCTTTCCCAACTTGAAAACTACTGATGTGCCCCACTGCAGGAGCTTCCCTCAACAGCACGTGTCCCTGCCACATACTCAGTTGTCATCTCTGTCATGTTAATTTTTCTTTCACTAAATCGGATGCTAATTTTTGTGTACCACAGAAAGAAAAACAATGTAATTTCCCTTAAAATAAACACATTCCTCAAACTGAAATCAACACGAATTCACTGCCTCTGCTTTAAGCAAGTTTACACAGGCAAATCAGTCACCAACTCTTCAAGTCGGTCACATCACCTCCTAAATGATGGAGTTATTAAAACAAGCAGCCTTTCTTATTGCAAATTTCCTTACAGAACACCTCAAGGCATGAATTTCAGGAACCTCTTTGCAGTCCACAAGCTAGTTGAGAAAGACACAAAATGGAAGACCTGTCACTATCAGCAATTCTTTTTTATTATTTTGATTTATGATGACAAAAAGCCATTCAAGACCAACAGTGGAGTTTGCAAACACAACAGATTTTGAAATGTACCAGATACGTTGCCCTCGTGCTGAAATGTTACCCAGCTGGATCAAAGCCTTGTGCAGGGGACAGCAAGGGAGTTACCACAGCTCTCTCTGAGCAGTCTTCAGACAACGATACATACCTGGATATTCTATTAAGGAGCAAGGTTGAGAACAAATAAGGTAGAAGGAAGTAAGAAATGAGCTGCAAACAAAGCCGAATGTAAAATGTAATTAGCATTTCAAATCAGATATTTGTCCTATATTGTGCTACTGACTTTATGAATTGCAGTGGTACAGCAGTGTATCACACCCCACCTTGGGGACCATCATTCTGCTCCCTTGAAGTCACTGTGTTTTTTTCTCTTGACCACTCTTAGACTGTGTGATTTACATGGAATTTCACAAATGTCTGAACATCTTAAAAAATGAAAAGGCTAAACACAGTACATAAACCTCTCTAGTAATACTTGTTTAGAAACACTTGTTAAGAAAGAACTTGCCTCCTTCCCTGGAAGGATTTCCTTCTAAATTGATAAGATATTCAAAAGTAATTATATTTTAATCTACAATATTAAAATAAATGTTGCAGAACTACAACTGCATTTTCTCCAACTAGTTTACCTAGAATTATTTACATAGTCACACAGTGAATTCAAAATGCAAAGAAATCATTGGCCAATACATGAAATATTTGCTTGATTATTTGCAATGCATAAAAAAGGTTGTGAAACTTACTTGTAGTAATTCTTTCAGAAGTGATTGTATTCCTATTGATTAGTTCCTCCATCACTGGAATGCACTGAATCAAGACATTACAAAACACTACTTTGGGAAATACAAAAGCAAATTTCTTTGAACAGACAGACCTATCAATTGTATATAATGAAAGTGTAAATTTAAACTAATAAATCAGAAAATCATACAAAGCCACCACTTCAAACAAATGAACACAAACAAGTTAGATTAGTTTTGCTCCTTATTCACTTGAATACTGTTCTAGGTTCGTGAGAACTCCCAAAATCACAAACACCGAGACACGATGGGTATAAGCAAAGTAATTTTATTCCACTACTGGTGATAGCAATTAGTACACACTGACTGACCCCTGGATTCCCGAGAAGCCGCTGAGCAGGAGGAGATGGAGCACGGTACTTGGCAGGACGAGCAGGCAGGCTATGCCTGTTTCAGGGTGTCCCCCAGACAGAAGCAGTGTGCATCTCATCCTGCTCACCCATCCAACCCAGAACCACCTCTTATACCCCCTCACAGTAGTGCCATTTTCCAGGTGCAACATCGGCTCACGTGTGGCCAGCGTGTGAACCGAGACCGCAATGGCTTCTGATACCAACTCCGTGCCAACAACGGCTCTGTTGTTCCTCTTCCAAAAGTCAAGTTCCCACCAGTTAATCTAATAATTTGTTTCTCTTTCCAGGGTTCAGTTCCTGTCCTCATCTATTGGTCTTCCTTGCAAGGTTTGCTTCCAACAGTGAAACTACAATATTTTCCCATGCCACATCCACGAGCACAACCACGGACCAGCTGTGGCAAGGCCTCAGACACAACTCAGGTCCCTGACACAAATACCCCAAACCAGATACTTTCAGTATTTTCTACTACTTCAACCTCCAAAAACTGCTACAGGTAAGTTTTGGGGTTTTATACATTTTTGCACCAAACCACAGTTTCCTCGCTTTAAAATACAGGTTATGACACTGAACTAAAAGGCTGAGTACATTATAAAAACAAGAACAAGACTTCTTTTGTTTTTGAAATACACGCAGAGGACTTCTAATAAATTTATGGTAATCATTTTAACCTTGAATACAAAAGTCTTTTAAACTCTTTTTGAATGAAATTCTGGGAAAGTACTATCAGTTATTTCATGAAGCGAGACCTGAGAATAAGCTCTGCACATAAACTAACCTTCATTAAATGTGACATGAGATCTTCAAGATCAAATTTCTTTATTCACATGATAGTAGAAAGACATTCAAATAAATGAAAAATAAAAAAAAAAGAGAGAGAAAGGATTAGAACAGGAATGTATATCATAAGGTAGGAGCATAGATAGATAAAATAAACCATATGCTGCCAGTACCAGTTACCAGTTACCAGTGCAGAGCACTGTTCCCCCACAAGACAGGCACTACCTTTAGCACTGGATTTCTCTGCTTCCAGTAACACAATTAATTCATATTTTCCTTCCCATGCTCAAGCATTAAAAGCCAGTAGTGCAGCTACAATTAACGTGATTTCAGTACCAAAAGACCACTTGGTAGTTATTATACACAGGGCTTTTTCATCTGTAGATGCACTGTGTAATTGTTCTATGTAATGCTGCCCAAAAGTTATTAGAAATGCTATTCTAAATATGAAACATTACAGTGAATTGGATTGTGTCACTATAGCAGACCTGATATTTACCCTCCTGGTCTGGGGGTATTCTTGAGGTCTAGATGGTTCTAAGAGGTCTAGATCAGTTTCTAAACTTATGGCAGACGTCTTAAAATGATAAAACTAAATGTGCATTACACCAGTATAACAAAAACATATGCATAAAAATGCACAAGGTATTTATCTTTCTCCTTCATCCAGGATAAAGTTCAACACACCAAGCTGCTGCATTTTAACTAGACTTGACTACATTTAGTGTAGACCTGGACTAAAGAGATAAGAAGCCCTTTCCCATTCACATAATAACATGGATTAAAGGCACTATCTTTTCCTAGAGTCCTTGCTTTTTCCTTCATGACTGAGCTCAGGTTTTACTTGGTGTCTGTGGCTCTAAACTTGGACTGTCCCACACAGAGAGAGCACTAGGGTGCATTTGCCTTTGGGTTCTAAAATATTCACCAGAATGAGAGAACAACACAGCTGTTACACTCAACAGCAGTGATGAGGCAGAAATTGTAAATTCTGCTCTCAGCTCCAAAAAGTGAGCACTGTTAAACACTGAAAAAACACCTGAGATTAGCAGCCAAGTTTCTGGGTGCATTGTGCTCTCTCACACCCCATAACCACAATATTCCAATGCTTGCACTACTCTCCCTGCAGGATCCTTACTTAACCTCCCAACCAGAATTCAGTCAGCAGTGAAAAAAGGGACATAACTTGGCTTACAGCAGGATAATCACAACTAACCCCCCGGAACGCACCTGTCCCTGTTATTGTGAAGCGGAACTGTTCAAAAATCAATTACAAGCATACCAGAGAGAGTTTCAACAGCGTAAACAGCAGCCAAAAATACACAGCTGTGCGAGAACTGCAATTACTACTCCAAAGCAGCAGTGAAGGGCCCAGACAGCAGAAATCATGGTTTATTCCAGACACCCACATCGCTTCTGACGGCGGTTTTTCTCCAGATACAGGAACACGACGTGCTCAGTACCTCAAAAATCGCACAGCTCGTCCAAGTCGGCGAACAAGCCGGGTTTTAACAAAGCTCACCTCCTCTGCTTAAACAAGGCAGTTCACGCGTTTTTCCTCTCAGCCCCGCGCAATTCCAGACCCGAGCACAGGACTTTCCGTCGCGGGCGCCCGGGGCCAGCCGGGACCGGGGTGCTGCGGTGGGTGACGGCGGCACCGCCCTCCCGGGCCGGCCCCGTGCCTGCCCACTGTCCCTCCGCCTGGGAACGGCCAGGAGAGCGCCGGGGGAAGCTTCTCTCTGGGAAGGAGGTATGTTAGACAGAGTGGGGGGCGCTCTTCTTCCCAGGCGGACAGGACGAGAGCACACAGCGTCAGGCCTGCACAGCGTCAGGCTGCGCCGGGGAGGTTCAGGCTGGACATTAGGAAGAATTTATTCGCAGAAAGAGTGACTGGGCATTGGGACGGGCTGCCCGAGGAGGTCACTGTCCCTGGAGGTGTTGAAGGAAAGGGTACTCGGCACTCGGTACCGCTTGAGTCATGGATTCCATCCCGCACTCCCGTGAGGCGGTCGCGAGGGGGCGCGCGCGCGGCCCGCTCTGGGCGCGAGGCGGACGGGGAGCAATAGAGAGAAGCCGTTCGCGCGGCCGCGGTGCCGGCGGGGACAAGATGGTGGTCGGCTCGCGCGCGCTGCGCGTGGTGCGGTGCGGGGGCGCGCCCTGAGCGGCGCAGGGCCGGTTCTCCGCCGATCCAAGTGCGTTGGCGGCAGGGGGGGACGGGAGCTCCAACACCCGGGGGGGGGGGGGGCTCCCGAGCTCCGGCGCCGAGTTGCCCCGGATTGTCCCCGCGGCCTGAGGCCCCCCGCGGGGCAGCCAGGCTCCTGTCCCCGCGGTAACGCCGTTTGCCCCCGCAGGTACCTGCTCTGCGCCTCCGGGGACTTCGTGAAGGTGTACAGCGTGACCACCGAGGAGACCCTGCGGCTCATGGGCGGCCACGCCGACCTGGTCACGGGCATCCAGCTCAACCCACACAACCACATGCAGGTTTGCGAGGGGAAGGTCTGGGTGGGCATGGGGATGGAGATGGGGGTGCCCCTGGCCCTCCCGTGCCTCCTCGGGGGCTGTCCCGGGGCTGGCTGGAGTTTGGGAACGAGCTGGGAGTGATTAGAGCATCTCTGAGCTAATGTTGCCCTGAAATCTGTCAAGAACGGTAAATGTATGTGTTAGCTACAAGTGAAAACGTGAAACGTCACGTGGATTGCACTGGTTGAATGCAATGACAGCAAAAGGGAAACGTCAGCAAAATTTCCGGTTCTTTGATGATTGAGGGGTAAAAAAAGCATGTGAGAAGATCAACAACACTTACTGTGGTTGGTGTTTGCCCCTCTCTATCTGCTAGTACAGATGCAGATTTGACTAAATCCCTTTAACTTGCTTAGTGGCTCTCACTGTCCCCAGCCTGCCTTCCCTGCTCATGCTCTGGCTCTCAGTTTACTTGAGCTTTTTTGGTGTCTGTATGTAAACAGCAGTTGTTTACCAGGAGGGACTGATCTGCATATTAGCTGTGAAAATCTGATCCAAATGTTAATAGATGTTCACATAATGGGTGTCTGTGTACTCACACTTTGTGGCAATGTACATTTTAAACTAGAATGTTGTGCTTCCATTGCACATTCATTGAAGGTAGCACAGAACTGGTCTGTGTCCTGTGTTTTGGATGATCCAGTTACCTGGAATCACAGTTCCAATGATCAATCTTCCAATTTTTAAGTTGTGATTTTATGTAAAAGCTGACTTTGAAATATTGCTTTGCCTTATATATTTATTATTTTTTTTCCTCAGCTCTATTCTTCCTCTCTTGATGGCAGCATTAAACTTTGGGACTTCATGGATGGGATTCCCATTAAAGTATGTTGAGTTATTCCTGTCAAAATTATTCTTGACCCACTGATTGTAGAATGCTGCTATTACTACAAATGGGCACAAATCAGTCTGAGATTAAAGTTGTTCTGCCATTAACACAGCCTGAAAACCACCTATGGCAGGAATAGAATGTGGCAGTTGATGTGTGATGATGATGATGATGCAGATTCTTTTGTGGGATGTACTGACATACTGACTTTGCTCCTTGCTGCAGTGTGGAGCCCAGTGTAGCTCTTGGGGAACATGCTGCAGTTTGGGATATGCTGATTGGAATTGATGTAATGGGTTGAAATTGTGGGCTGCTAACTGTCCTCTTGATCTTGTTTTCTGCTAAATAGAGGCACTTCCCTATAGGTGAGCTTTCTGCTTTGTATTAGGGGTAAGGTGTCTTAAGGTTTTCCAGTAAATCTGATGTCTCATATTTTACTAGTACTGTTTTAACATCTGTGTTAGTCTTTGAGAAAATAAAGGTGTTTGTATTTGTCTCAGAATCAAGAATTTTAGTCAATACATGAAGGGGTCTTTAAAGCACAGACGCTTTCCTTATTCTAAAAACTTAGCATTATTCACTGTTTAAAAGCATACAATAATTGTTGACCTCTTTTTTTCCTTCAGACTTTCACTGTAGGATGCAAACTTCTGGCACTGTACACGCTTCCCAGTGCTGAGGACTCGGTGTTTGTTGTAATTCCAAAGAAGGGTGAACGAGGTACAGTACAATTAGCACCATCCCTGTCACCTCAGTCATTCTCTGTCTGTGCTGCTGTCACATCAGTGAATGGTGTGCTGCAGGAATGTGCTTTAATATGCTAATTGTGAAAGTATTTCTTAAATCCTGTGGCAGATGTCTGTAGTCCTGCACGTCATAATTTTTTTCTGTTTTCATTCTATGACATGTATTTGTCTAAAGAGTGCTTATCTTCACCTGTGAAGGATATACTGCATGGATGTGATCTCGTAGATGCAGTAAATCTTAAGCAGTGCTTACGAAGGTACAGGGTATACTACTTGAGTTGAACACGAGTACTTGAGATTACCCTTCCACTTTTAGCAGTGTTAACATAAATAGACTTGTCCTATTTAACAGCATACCTAGATATTTTTTAATAGGATTTTGTGTGAAGTAAATATGGTTTAGCCTTACTCTGCACCATAATATACTGCTACTTCAGAGCAAGAGCAAATATTGTGCAACTCTGCTTGGTTTCTGCTTACAGTTGCACTGATACCCACCGTCTAGTCCTCGTTCTTCAGTACTACTGTTTGAAACAAAGAGACTTTTTTCTTTGGTCAGATACATTCCAGCTGGTCTCTGTGAAGCTGACAAAAGGAGCAGGCCAAGATCTGGAAGCCAAGGAGCTGTCAGTGGTTCTGGATGGTGTGGGGGCATCAGCGAAGCAGATTGCGTTTGGAAGAGAAGTATATTCGCCTTTGAGGCTTTTTCTTCTGTGGGGTGTTGGTTGGTTGGGGTTTTTTTTGTCTCAAACTCTATGCTGTTTATGCCTTCATAAAACCAAGCATAAAACCAAAAGTAAATGAATCTGTGCAAGGCCTGGGCTTTATTTTATGCTACTACTATTTTATATGCTAATAGAAAAAAGAAACATCAACACTTATCACAGGAAAGTCTTTACTTAACGTCAGCTCATATGTTGTCTCCGGTGTTAAATACTTTGTAGTGAAATGTGGTTCTTTTTTTTTTTCCTCTTTCATATGTAAAAACATAATCTGTATATCCTACATTGTTTTACTCTTAACAGGGTGAATATGTGGCATCAGTGAAAGAGGTTAATCTCCAAGTTTATTTCTTTAAACGGAAACTGTTGAACAGGTAAGAATGTGAATAAAAATGTCAAGTATTGATTCAGTCCAATATATAAGTGTTTATTCACCAGTGATATGTGCACACATGATTTTGGTTTGTCAACAGCCATTTGGTTTTATGCTGGAGGGAATGTGGTCACTATATAAGAAGCTTCCCACAGAAGCAGACAGTGAGCACTGCAGTGGCAATGGTACCTTTGCAGCTCAGGGATGTATTTTTTTCAGGAAAATACTTAGGCTGATGCTGAACTGAAACAAGTGACATAGTTTGGGCAGGATCAGGGCATGGGAAGGAAAGGGGAGTAGAGGAGAGAAAGAAGCAAAACAATTTTCAGCTTGATTGAAGGCGAAGAATAACGAAATAAAGAGAAAAATAAGCCTGTCACTATTTTGTTGAGAGTATATATAACTAACATATAACTAACCATAACAACTTGGAGATGTTTAATTTTGCTAATCAGAAGTATCTTTTATGTGCTCTGACTGATCCTTTTGAAGGTTTTCAAAAGAACCAACCCAACTCATATAATTAAAGGTACTTCCTTAACTCTTGAAGGTTTTCTTTGCGTGCAGTGAAGACAAAAGGTGGAGACAATCAGTTCAGCTGCGTGGCGTGCCACCCAACAGAGGATTGCATTGCAACTGGCCATGCTGATGGAAAGATTCGCCTCTGGTATGTGCATTTTGATTCAACTGTACCCCATAAACTGCTCTGACCAAAGGAATTAAGTGAAACCTGAGCAAAGCAGTCTGATTTGTCCTTAGTGCTGCCATTTTCAGAAGTCATAATGAACAAAGAGTGAGCAATGTACCTGCAGTGTTGACATTGCAGGGGACAGCTTCAGTGTATTGTCAAATGGAAAAATATGCTTGTTAAGCTGTGCTCCACGAATCTAAACTTATGTGGAAAAAGTAATGCGGGAACAGCAGAAATAACACTTGATGGGCAAGTAGAGTCCTAGGGAGAGCACACCAGTGGAACTGCTTGATTAAAACCAACACACTGGCCAAGTTTCTTCCAGGGGTGAGTTGCTCAGTACATCTAAAATGTGAGGTATAGATGACCAGGAGAGTGCTGAAAACCTGCTAGTGTGGTTCTTTCCCTCTGCATCACCTGAGCACTCAAGAAACTGTAGTCTAGAAGTTAGATGAGAGAATGATATACTTGATTCAATTCAATATTTCTTTTCCTTTGTTCTGTTTTTGATTTTGTGAGTAAAAAACTGTTCTGTTCCTCCCCACATAGGAGGAATTTCCACCACAAGAAGGAATACACATATTCTGCACTGCACTGGCATCATGATATTGTCATGGATCTGGCTTTTTCCATGGAGGGTGAGTAAAAGAAAAGTAAAAATCAAGACAAAACAAAACAACCAAAAAAACCCCACCAAAAGCAAACCTCCATCAAAAAACCAAAAAACCCCTTTCAAAGTCAAAGAGTTGCAGCAGGGAGGAAAGAATCAATACAAGTTCGAGTTTGCCCACTTATAACAAATTAATTTTTAGAATTTTAAATATGTCCAGGAAGGATCTAAAATAAAAATGGGAGCAGTTTTTACTTTTTTTGATGTAATTTTGATTGGCATTCATAATGTCAAATATCTACCTCTGTGGTAAAATTTAGAATCTAAACCCTGTTCTCACCTCTTCTCCCCCACCTCCACTCTCATTCCCTCTCCCTTTCATCAGTAATACTGATTAGTTCTTGTCAGTCTTATTTGCATCCAAATAAAACAAGCTAGTCTGGTCTGAACTCAAACCTAGTGTCAGAAATAATTCACTTTTATCTGAATTGTGTGATCTGAACTATTCTCAAGGTATTTCTTAGTGCAAAGTACTTTTCAATGAAGGAGAACAATTCATCTGTATTCTAACACAAATACTCAGCTGATTCAGGAAGTAATGGGATCTACCACTCCCAAAGCATTGTTTGAGTTTTACTGTAGGCACAAATTCTTCTTGCTTAATCCAAGTTTCTCTAGCAGTTTAACATGGGATAATAAGAAACATATCTGTGTGTGTGGCCCAGGCTCGTGACAGTTTAAAAAGTTTTGAGACACTTATGTTCGTCTGTCATTGTAAAGGTATACACTGCTGAATTTTTGTTTGTAAGCAAAACCAGTAACTGCATTTTTATTGCTGGAAAAAGGAACCAGGTTGCTGAGTGGTGGAGTTGAATCAGTTCTGGTCCAGTGGCACAATGAGTCATCGTGTCAGAAGGATTTCCTGCCTCGTTTGGGGTCTCCCATTGAGTGCATCTCCATGTCATCTGACGGCGCGCTCTGCTGCACCTTGCACACAGACAACAGTAAGCCAAAGCAAACCTGAGTGTCACTTAATGCAAAATGGAATGCAAATCTGTATGAGCTTTATTTTGTTGATTTCAGATTAATTAAACAGATACTGCATAAAATGTCAGTGCTGATGTGAAAGGACAGATGCTTGAAGTGATTTTTTTCTCCTGCATCAGTTCTGTGAATTTTCCTGGAGACTGCTGTAACTTGGCCTTCCACCCTGATGTAGGGGTGTCAAAAATTGGGAAAAGATACATTTGCAGTACAGTTGGTTGTGGTCCCTTTCCCACTGTGAGATGTGGTTACATTGCAAAAGCCTTTTGCAAGACTTGGTTTGGTTTCTCTTTCAGGAATTACAATAATCAACAGCAACCTAAGGTTTTCCAGAAGTATTCAAGGGCTAATCAAAAGTAAGTTCAATAAAACTTACCTTCCCTTTAGAGGATGGAATGTGTCACTTACCATCTTTGGTCATTTGTCACCTGATTTTTGTTTCCAGGTAGGGATGTCAAGACTGGCCTAGTGGTTGATCCTAGAACCAAAGCTCTGGTCATGAATGGAGAGCCTGGCCACTTGCAGTTCTATTGCCTCCAAAGTGACCAACAGCTGTTCAGTGTAAGTTGAATGAGCTTGTACCAAAACTTTAAAGTTCTTTAGTCAAGTAACTTGTGCATCAGAATTTATTTGAAGACTTAATGTGGCAAAAAGGAAAAAAACCCAGCAGCTATGTGGCAAGGCTGGATTCCAGGCTGAGATGTTCTTGCCTTTATTGCAAACTTTTTACTTGTTAAGCATAGCTAAATGTTGATAGTTGAAAAAATACTTCAAAACAGTGTGTGCTACTCCTGTTGAATGTCCAATTTCTAGGTAAAATCCCTCTAAATTATTTTTTCTTCTTCTTTCCTACACATAGGATTGCTGTGGAATGCACATGCCCTAATGATGCTTTCCCCACATGTTGGTTGTGTTGTTTTTATTTTTTTTTATGTCACAGCCCAGTCAGGTCTAATTAGTGCTTTCAGAACATCCTTTCTCCATGGCTTTATGGATGGTGTCTCTTACAGCTGCACTTGAATTTTGAAGTTTAATGTTGGCCTTGTTTTGCAGTTGGACATTGTGCAGCGCCAGTACATCCACGAGGCAGGTCTGAAGCAATCTGACCTGGTGAAGGTCGCATTCAGTGCCCAGGGAACCTGGTTGGCCACAGTAGAAGAGAGAGAAGAAGTGACAGACCCCGAGTTAGAGCTGAAGCTGTGGTTCTATGAGGAAGAAACACAAAGGTAACAATAACAGAGCTGGCTTTTTAGGTGTCAGTCGCACAAATACCTGCACAGACGTGGTCTTGCAAAGGCAGACTTCTTCCAGATCAACTGATGAAATTCTGGGGCAGACTGTCAGAAGTTTACCATGCACACCAGAAGCATCTGCAACAGCACACAGAGTTGCAGTAACTGCAGATTGGACATAATTGCTCTGAATCTATTTTACTTAGAGCAATCAGACAGGCCATTGTAACCATGGGACTTAAATTCACATATTTCCTTGGTATTAAAAATCATAGACATGACAGAATAGTTCTATATCTTGTTCAGTTTTCCCACTTCTGTCTAATCCATCATTCATTGATTAGCCCTTGTAGAGTACAGAAGATCAAGAATTTATTGTTGATTTTTTCTTTAGCTAACATATGCATCTGCTTAATACACTTACACTAATTTTCTTATTTAAACAACTATATTTTCACTATAAATTGTTATTTTCCTAAAGAAGAAACAAAGCAAAAGAAAACTACTACACGGATCAACTATGGGACTGGTTTTCTAGCTACTGGAAAGACTGCCCAGAGTTCAGGCTGAATATTTGAGACATGCTTGCCTAGTGATAGATGCTGAGCTACAATCTCTCTTGCTATATGGAAGTGATTAGGGAAATCTGATCTGTAAATGTGATACCATCTGGCTGTCTTAGACAGAACTTCTTTTATCCCTCATCTGCCTGCCCATTCCAGAATCAACTTAAAACTGAAGTGTTCCCCAAGTTCCAAATGAAATAGAATGACAAGCTTCTGTTTTCTTTTCCCACAGCTTTAAGCTGAATACTAGGATAAATACACCCCATGACAACCACATCACAGACATGTGCTTCCGTGACATGGGTGAACTGGAAGATGACTCTCTGATACTGGTAACAACTGGCAGAGACTGTGTGTTTAAAGTCTGGGTGATGGTAGAAGACACTGATCCAGAAGGCAAGTGTGCTCAAAACATAACATACTCTTACTTGCCACCTTGTAACGTAGAATCCTGAGAACATCCTGAGTTGGAAGGGGCCTACAAGGATCACTGAAGTCATGCTATAGAAATTCTGACCCTGCCTTCATCTGCTCTGTCCTGTGCATTGATCTGGTTTTGCTGCTGCATGAACTATTGTGTTCTCATGAGCAGCCTGTGATGGAGTTCTGTCACAGTTTTGCAGTCTTATAGATTGATATGGAGGTTCCTGAAGTAGCAAAGACCTTGCTGAGCCTGCTGCAGAAGGGAATGGCAGCCTGTGTTGATTGATTAAGGGATTGTTTGTGGTAACAATTTCTCCATGCTGGGAAAATGGATTTTTGTCATTCTTCTGGGTAGACTTTTTTCTGAGACTTCTGCTCGAGGGAGCAGGATACAGGAATGTGTTAAAATAATAGCACTTTGCCATTCTGCAGCTCTGCCACTTCAGAGTTCATTTTTTGAACATCCTTCCTTCCCATTAGATAGTTGAACATCTTAGAATGGGTATTTAGCATCCACTTCCAAGGTACTTTAAATAAGCAAATTTCACCTCTTGATGGTGATGTTCACTTGTTGCAAACAGAACATCTCTGGATGTGTATTGCCCTGTACGCCTTTGGATGTAAAATACAAAAGATTTCCACTTAGTAATTTCCTTGAATGTTATTTTGGTGCCAGCCACACTTAAATGAGCTGGAACTTCCCTGCCACTTGGGTGTCTTGTCTTTTCATGTTCCCAGAGAGCTGTAATAGTGGTCATGCTGAACTGCTTACGGTTTAGTAACCTGTTTATCTTTTCATGGGCAGGTGAGAACATGTTCACAAGTGCTTTTGAATCACTGAGGTTTCCATTTGGAAACCTTCCTTTGCCAAATTGACTTTCTCTCTCCAAGCTCTTTGCTCAACTGTGGCTGATGAGAAGAAGGACAAAAGCTTGTGTTCATTTAATAGCAACTCCCTCAATGATATCTGAAAGTGTTTGGGTTTTGCTTTTTTTTCTGTAAATTATTCTGATCCTAAATTATATTCAACTTAACAAGCAGCTGCTTTGATCTTCGAGTATGGTGTGGGTTGGAGATGAAACCTAATGGGGTTTGTTTCCTTCCACAAAGTAGTTTTGTATCTACTGACTGGCCTCATCAGGGTTTTTTTGTGTGTTTGTTTTTTAATGACTACAGAGTTCTGTTCCATGGCATATGTAAAAACACAAATTAGTGCTGACTTCTGTGGTGTATTTGCCCAGCAGGGACAAGGTAGGAATGCTCAGGGAGAAAGGCTCAACATGATGCAGCTTCTGTGCAGCAAATATTGATAAACTAATGAGCTCATACATCGAGTACATGCTGGGATGTTTTTAATTGCAGTAGATCTCTCGCTGTGCCTCTAGATGGTGCCATGCAGTTTGAAGTAGTGAATAGTTTCTGGCTCTTTTTTACAGGCAGGTCTTTTAATCATCAACTTGTAGCCATTATATAAAGGATAGCTTAGCATAGGGTGAACCTCTTTTCCTTTCTTTCCTCATCCTACTCATATGTTTCAAAAGCATGCTGTGTGAATTATTTTATACTGGGAAATGTATGTTAACGTGGTAAGTACATCACTTTGCTTCAGTTTATTTTATGGCAGTTTTCAGCAGTGGGAAAGGCATCCCAAAGGAACGCACTGGCATGTTAACCAACACAAGGAAGCATGCTGATGGGTCACCTGGTGGTCCTCAAATCCTCTGTAATGAACCATGAGCTCTGTTGTACTCAAATACAACCTACGTTCAAATTTCAAGTTCATGTTCTTGCCAGAGTTTTAAAAGAACAGTATGTTTGAGAACAATAAATGCTGAATCTACTTGAGTACCTTTTTCATCTGACATCTGCCTATTCAAGAGCATAGTTAACAGAGTTGGCAGAGTAAGCATGGATATTGTACCATGTCAGGCTCGGGTTCACTGCTCAAATGCAAAACTGAGAGCAAAGGAAAACCCTACCAGATGTTTCTCATAATAGAACAGGACAGATTCTCTGCTCTTCCAAAACATAAACCTTCTGAAACAGAACTGCCTTGCTCTTGAGCCTATTTTGCAACAGTAATACTTGAATTCCTTCTTCATGTACAGACTTGAATTAACTGGCTTGTTCATTCAATGCAGCACAGCAAAGTGTGAGCTGGAGCTGTGACTTTGTAGGCAGCTACCACAACTACCAAGCTACTAACTGCTGCTTCTCAGAAGATGGTTCTCTGCTTGCTGTTAGCTTTGAAGAAACTGTCACTGTTTGGGATTCTGTCACTTGGGATCTTAAGTGTACGTTCTGCCATCCACCTGGAAATATAAGGTATGTTTTTCATCTGCTCTTTTATGTCTCGCTTGAACTCTCAGAACAGAAAGAATCAATTCATAGTAGTCCAAGACTTTATATATATATCTCCATAAAAACATTGAATTTAACAGTCTTAAGTTCATATATAGAAAAGACTCTAAAATGGCTTTGAGGTGGTTGGTAACTTCCTGTTAAAAATAAGATCAAGCTTTTCAGTTTCTTCGTCTTACTTGCTTATGCCTCCTGTATCTCCCATGCTTAAATATGTGTCACACAGTATGTGTTGATAGCCCTTCTCTTTTCCCCCATTAGTCTAGGGATGAATCAAAGTACTGAAAAAGTATAAATACAAGAAGATGTTTGTTCTTTATTCGTGTACGCACACATACAAATAGAAATTACATCAATAAATCATGATATCATCTCCATTATGAAATATATATCTTGATCCTCTCTAACCTCTGTTGGGAAATCCATGTTTGCCTGGCAGACTATCCCAGCATGCTCCATTGTGTGCCCTCATGATAAAACACACCAATATTGCGTGGTCACGATGTTTTAAAGACTGACACAAAGAGTCATAGAAGGATACAGAGATTTCTTGCTTCCCTGTTTTTGTGTGTATGTTTGTAAGCTTTTCTTTTGTGCTGTGAAGTCTGTTTTGTTGATACTTGTGCTCTGAGATTAGAAAGGGAGAAACATGATTCTAAAAGTGGTGTGCAGGAAAACTGTGAGAGGCATGTGAGCTTGGTATGGTGGCAAGCTTTTCCCAGGCTAGCTGCTCCTCTTACAGCCTTTACTCTGTGTTATAGTAAAAGGAAATAAATTACTCTAGGAATATATTAAATTACTGTATTAAATGCATATTTTCAAAGGGCTATGCTTCAATATACAAATTCTGTCCCTTACTGGCTTTTTTTTGAAAACGTTTTATCATTGGAAACCAAAAGGCTGTTCTGGCATTCTCAAACAAGAGACTGAGGAATTAAAATAAGTGGAAACAAATCACATGCTTTTTTCAGTTGGAGCAGCTTATAATAACAGCTTTTTTTTGACTACTCCTCTCTTTCTAGTTCTTAGAGCAATACTTGTGGTTCTTCAAATATGGAAGTTACTTTCCAGTCTCAATGTGAACGCTTACTATTACATATGGGTTTTTAATTTACTTAAAGCTTAAAATCCCTCCTTCAAATCATAATGCTGTAGAAACATGTAATCCCTTTAGATTTATGCATACTTTTGAATCTCCCAGACCTATCTGATGGTTTCATGTGAAGTTTTGTGCCACTTAGAGGTGAAAGCAAAAAGCAGGCTTGATTTAGATATCAGAACTAAATCTTAGCTGAATGTTTTTTGTGAATGGTGAATCATTGCTAGATAGAGAACCGAAGATGAACTCTGAAGGTCACTAACTTGTTTTGACTTTTTACTTCTGTAGGAACATCTGCTTTGGGAGACTAACATGTTCCAAGTACCTTATTGGTGCCACTGATTATGGCTTTCTGTGTTGCTGGAACCTGCTCACTTGTGCATGTAAGATCAGCTTGAATGTGTGCTAGAGTAACTTAATACTTCAAAGTATTATGAAACCTTAAAATAATTCTAGTTTGATTCCATACTGACGCACTACAAAATGCTTTGTGGAAATATGGTGATTTTCCTGTTTCAGTTAGGATAGTATCCTGTCCAGTGTGCATATGCTTTGTGTGCACGTGTAGAGCAAATTCTAAGTTAGATGTTGATAACCCAGTAACAGGTAGTACTTCTTACTTTTGTGTAGAAGCTGGTGGTATCTGTGAATTTTCATTCACAAGTGAAGCTGCATGCCTCTTCCAGTGGTTAGGGCCCTGTGGGTCGTTTCTGTTTGACCTTTTGTTTGGCAGAGTGCTGAGGTAGAACTGAATGGCTCCTTTTCACTTCTGCCTCCTACTTTGCTTGCTTTCCAGTGGAGTGGAGTGCCCACCTCAACATCGTAGTTCTGCAACCCGATCCCCTTTCGGAACATATCGCTGCGGTCTCGTGGCTCTCCAAAGAGTCCAGCTGTAAGTACAAAGGCTTCTTTGACAAGTAATAGTCAGCAGAATTTTAAACTGGGGAAGCACAGTTTATGGAAAAGGTTTTTCTTAGAATTCAGGCTGTGAAAGCTGTAAGATGGACTTGAGTCTGTGCTTGCACCTCTGGATACTGAGCCACGTCTGGCAGCAGCCATCAAGTAAAGCATGTTGGCTCCTCATCTTTTCTTCCAGCAGTTAGATTCTGGTACAGGATATAGCTCAGGATTAATCAGGTTTTCTGGGTGAGGGTCTGAAACGTTCTTGACCCTCTCTTGTAAATGCAAAACTGTTGCTGAAATATACAGCCATGTTTTAGAGCTCTGACTATAAATTAAGATAACTCTTCCTGAAGCTACTGTCCTGCGTTAACTTCTAAGTATGTTGTCTGGAGTGGAGTACTGTGAAAGGTTCCTTCCACTGTGCTTAAGGTTATCCAATTCTGTTCCTGCAAACTAGTGCTTAGGGGCAATGCTGTCCAGCCCTCACTGGCTGTGGCTGTAGGGCTTTGACAGATAGCCAGGAAGGTCAGAATGTCATGATTTAAAGAGAAGACATTCTTGGTTTTTCAGTGTTTGTGTTTAAACCAAATGAGCCACGGCCGATCTATATCCAGAGAAACCTTTGTAAAGAAAAGATCCTCCTTGCTGCCTTTGTTCCAAGAGATGAACCTGAAACAACTGGCTCAGAAAAATACCTTTGGCTAAGAAGATCCCAACTATTTTTTCTTACGGATACACAAGTAAGAAACTGTGATTAGCAGGTGGTTCCTGGGGAAAAAGTATTTTAAGTGTGGATTGATACAAATTCAGAGTTGTGCTGTTAAGAGTTTCTTTTTGTGATTTCAAGTCAGCATAAACCATGCTTTGTTCTTTATTAAAAGCTTTCAACTGCCAAAACAGCCTAAGCTCAAAATTACTTACTGATTTTCTACTTCCATTAGTTTATGTTGCCTCACTGATATGAGAAACTAGATAAATTGGGAACATTGCTTATGCTGTTTAACTTAACCACCTAGAAGCTGTATATATTATTGCTGATTATACAAATGTTCCATGTAATACTTAGTTTTCCTTGTAGTTTCTGGATGGGTGTGGGGGTTTTGTTTGTTTGTTTGTTTCCCCAGAAGGTTTATGGAACCTCTAGGTCCATTCTTGCTTTCTTTCAGTTTCTTTACAAAATAAAGAGGAAGAGATGTGTTTCGTCTCTTCCGCTTGACTGATAGAAACTTTTGGTCCAGTTGGAAGCTTCTGTAGGCAAGGTATGGAAATGTGGGAAACAGTTTCACCTGTGATAACTGTGCTGCATCCTTCTGTATTTTAGGAGCTAATGACACTTAGCACAAAGCCTTTGGGAGAACAGCTTACACCGTCAAGCAAACAGGTACCTGTCATGGAAGTTCTGACAGAGCTGGACAGACCAGTTCAAAATTCTGATGGGGTTCATTTTGTTGTAGTTACATTCCCTTCCATCATGAAAATGCACAGCAGATCCTTAGCTGGAGTCACAGGCATTTAGGTGTGGGAGGAGTGATCTGTATTTGATTACTTTTTGACAGAATTGCTGTTTGTAAAAATCTTTTTAAAAAGTATCAGTAAGCCACTCCCTCCTTTTTCCATTTCCCCCGAACAACAAAAAGAAAAAGATATATTTCTAAAAGATTCAGGTTACACAAATGAAGCAAAATGTTTGAATGAGCTCTTTCCTTATCTTGGTTTCTGTAACACTTGGAACCTTGAGTGTGGCCTCAACTGTGCTTCCCGATGAGGATGAACAATTGTCAGTCAATTGTGACTTATCAGTAAGAAGGAATTCCAGAACTGCATTCCAGTATGTACTTCTGTGGAGAAGTAGTCTGGGAAACTTGAGGTTTTTCTGAATTCATATTGAAGGAGTGTGTCACACTCACTGAACAGACTAAAACAGCAGCACTTGATTGATTTGGTTGGTTACGTAAAATAGATTGAAGTGGAAACTAGTATCTTTCTGATACAAAATCCAGTGGTGATGTGGGCATAAGCAATGAGTTTCTTTGGAGGGTGGGGGAATAATTTGGTGCTTGGATTACAGTGTATTGATCTAGGAAGGTGCCAAAAGGCATGGTGCCATGTTTTGCTTCCTGTTAAATAATTGAACGTCTCTGCAGGCGATGCTGGGGTATAAACAATCTTGTGGTCCCAAGTGGAATCTGAAACTCATACTTAGCTTTTCTGGCACATGCACCAACTTGCATATTTGGAAATTAATGGGTCTGTCAGCCAACTAAAATCTGGTGTTCTGGAGAGTTTTGCAACCCTCTGAGTAGGATTCTCTCCAGCTGCCTGACAGAGAACGAGTACAAAGAGCCACATAGCTCAGTTAAATTTGAGCGTAAAGTTTTGTCACCTTGGGTTGGTTCTGAATTTAGCTAACTTTAAATGAGATGGAACTTAGATTTGTGACACTAAAATTCTACTTGAAACTTCTACATTTTTCAAGCTGGCAGTAGAAGAAAGCCTCCCCGTGACCCCGTTCAGTTTGCTGTTGGGAAAGCACAGACGTCAGCAATCACAAGAGGATATAGACCTTGGAAAACTAGTTGTTCATACTAAGCATGAACAAGCTTCACCTGCTGTCAAAGAGGTAGGAGTAATTACATTAAGTGTACAAACAAAATCATGACAAACAAAACCTTACATAAAGCTTCTGTTTTATCTTTTCAGCTTTTGCACACTCCAGCACACGTTTTGCCATCTGCTTCTTTCCTCTGCCCTATATTTATTAATTCATTGCTCATCTCCAAAGAGAACAAAAGGTAAGAGAAGTTCAGGAACTCTCCTGTTTTAAATTATGTACATCCTTGTTTAAAGTGTAAAAGCAGTTTTCCAACACTCTTCATCTATTCACTAAATTAGGAGAACACTTTATTGTGGCAAGTGTTTTTAAAACAATGCAGTTTTGGGGAGGGAGGTGGTCTGGCTGTTTAGTGTATTGGGTCTTTTGGTGCTGTTATTTTTGCTGGGTTTTGGCACAACATGCTCATATGCAAAATGTTCTTTCTGAATTTAACTTTATTCATGTGTTATATTTGGAGGAAAAAATACTTTGTATAAGTTTACTTAAAACAGAGGACAGCTATTTGAAAAATGGCTTGAAATCGAGATGGTAAAAGAAGTACAGTAGTTTTTAAGTAGCCTGACATGAAAAAAAAAGAGATAAATTCTAATATTTACTTAATTATTTGCATGATAACTTACCTCTCTCCTGTAAGTAAGGAGAGTATAGTACAGTACTACAGTATGTTAAAGTACCCATTAATTGTCTCCAATCACCTTCCAGTACTGAAGAAGTTGCTGATGAAGTAGAAATGGAAAGTGAAAAAACAGAAGATGATTCAGATGAGGAAAGAGATGTTACAGAAATGGAACAAGAAGATACAAGCCATATGGAATTATTAGGAGAGATGACATGTAAACTGTCTAAATCCCAGGAAAAAGAGCTAAGAAAAATAAGAAAAATGGACTACAGTTGGATATCAGCCTTCTAAACAGACAATCCTTTGTGGATTCAATATTCTTAAAAAAAATCTTTCAGGCCCTTGGGCCATAAGTTTTAGCAGCCTCTCTTTCCAAAGGAAAGCAAAAAGGGGGGCAGGGGATTAAAGTTTTAAAAAGCTGATTCTGCTCCTATTTTATTGCTGATTCTCTGTGACCTTAGAAAACGTTTAACCTGGTCTTGGGGCTTTTTTTTTTTTTTTTCCCCTTGCAAGTATATTTAAAAGGCTAATAGCAAAACTGAGTTCATTATCTTGTGATCAGTGAGCAAAGTGACAGCTCAGCTGCTGAAAACCTCCCCCACTGAGGCCAGGCTAATGCTGCCAAAGCAACAGCAGCAAACACCTTCAGTTAGTGAGACAGCTTAGTTCAAGGTCTGGCAGGGGAAATCAGGGGTCTGTGTGCAGGTAACAAATCTCCTCACCAGAAGTTCCTCTCCAGGCATTGAGACAGGTGACAAGTGGTTTTATATGCCTGATTTGAGAATACAGATATTATTGTCTGCTGGTGTATGGAGATTCTCAGGCAGGGGTACTTCTGTGTAGCAGAGCATAATGAAGCCTTTCCAAATATGAAGACCACTGCACCATGTAGAAGGAGATGTAACCTCTCAACTTGACAGCCAGCTTAGTAGGCCTCTCATGCATCAGCTCGAGTTCCTGAATATCACTGAACTATACATATCAGAGTGTAGAGTTAGTTTGAAGTACAAATTGAATAGTCTCCTGTGGTGTTGCAGTATGAAGGCAAGCAGATGGAAATGGCACAGGTCACTAAAAGCTCTCAGAAAACAATATTTTGCTAAAACTACTCAGATCAAAAAGGTTGGAAATGGGAGCAGATCCTACAACTCTTGTCAGCAAAACCCATGTTCTCCCCACTTTACATCTGCCTTTAAACTGAAAACCTTTCCTCCCTCTCCTTTCTTAACACCATATATTGGAAAATGATTAGCAACAATGCTTTTTACTTTTTTGGGGGGGGACATATCCTACAATAGGCAAAATCTGTCACTTCTGTCATGAATAGAAAACACTGATATTCATCCTTAAGCATCAACGAAAGCACTTCAGGAGGGTTTTGCTGGAAGGTTTAACTTCCCCCATTTTAACATGAATGCAAATGTTTGCTTCCAGTGAGCAGTGCTGACAAGTCATACAATAAAGTTAGGTACCATAGCTCTTTAGACTATTTATTTATTATGGCTGTGAGGAACCTTTTCTTCAACCATAGATTACTTACATAGGACTAATATTACTGGGAATTTTAAGGGAAGTTTTTAATATTTAGTCATTTTGCTTTCTTATGCCTTGGTACAACAGAAAAATAGCCTTTTAAAACCTATAAAAGTTTTTCAAAATTAGTTTGCTTGTAAGTTCATGTGCTTCTATTTCTGTCTCAAACTTATAGGGAGAGGAAAAGGAAAACAAACTAACCCTGTCACAACTACAGCCAGTTTTCTGCTTTTTTTCCCTTTTTATAACAGCTGTTTAGATAACCTTCTGGTATATGTAGCTGAAGCAAAAAAAAAAAAATCACAGCTGCCCAAATATTATGCAATTCTTATTTCCATCCCTTTATCTGCAGATCTGAAACTGATACAGCCTTTTCAGAACCTTGGACCCAATGGATTTTTCCCTAAGTGAACAGTTTCAGCAGAATAAATAGGGAAAACGTGTTAAGACCATAACTGACAAATGGCAGGTTTCGAAAGCTCAGAGATGTTAAGAAATAGAAAGTACAGGTAAAAAAAAATATTAGTAAACATTTCCCCCCCTCAAAACATGCACTACACTGAAAGGTTTTTGTCTTTTTTCTTAAATAACATCAGACTTCAGCTCTGTGAGAAACAAGTGTGAGTTGAGCAGGGATCTCTAAGTGTGTTGTTTCAAAAGCACTGGCTGCATCAAAGCCTGGCACTGTGTCAGCAACACTTGGGGTGGCTTTAGAGGTGAGGAGGAAGTCTCAGTATCTGTTCATGTGGGGTTTTTAAACTTCACATGTTCTTGTGAAAGTCAAGTGCTTTCCTGGAAGCTAACCTGGTATTAACAAGAGAGAATTTAGATGCAATTCTGCACCTGAAGGCACAATTTAGTTTTGTGTCCAGGCAGTAGCACGTTGTGTTACTTCATCAAGATACAGCTTTTAGACGTAACCTTTTGTCTTTACTCACTTTGTTTAACTTTGCACAGTAGATTGAAGGTACAGGGATAACAAAGAGAGTCCTCACTTTGTAGTTTTGTGTGTATGTTTTTTCTACTCAAGCAGGAAATACATTTCTGGTTACAGCTTTTACTACATTTAGTAGGCACATTCTGACCAACCATTTTGAAAATGGCTTTTGAATGATACTGCAATTACAATGAAGAATTCAGTAGGAGGGCTGCTATTCATCCACCTGCGCCTGCTTGGGAATGCTTTATGTTTAAAATAATTCTCTGCTGTTCCTCAATATTTAATTATTTTTAAATCACATGTTTCTCAGTGGCCATTAAAGGTCTCCATATTTACTGTGACATCCTAAATCAACTCTGAATTTGATTTTTTGGCTTCTGCTTTCTGATTAATAACAAAGTTATTAATAACTTTGTTATTAATCAGAAAAAAAATGACACAAAAGACAATAGAGAAGGAGATTGAACTTAGTCTCTTGATTCCAGTTACATGATAAATACAACTGGTAATAAAATACCTCTGCACACGTAGAGGTCAGTGTTCAATACCTATGGGTGCCTCTTGCATCACTGAGGACTGCAGTTTTCACAGGAGCAGTCACAACTTTATTTAGGCTGAGGGACAGACCATGCAAGGGTGGCAGGTGCCTAGAAGGGGACTTGTTTACTTCCCAAATCTTCCACTTGGACAAGTGGATCAGATAAACATGAAAGCCTGAAACTTCAGCAGCTATGAAAGGCATTATAAAAAATATAGGCAAAGCCTTATGGATTATGTCATGGCAATGGGCTTTGACTGAGATGCTGCTTCCCTGTGACACTGCTCAGGTGCTGCTCTAAATGCAGAAGAGGTGACCAGTAATTGTAACCCATTTGTTGCAGTCAAGCTTAGTTCCACAGAGACCAAAAATCACTGCTGCGCATTGGTATTTTGTGGCCCCAGACTGGTTATTAGTTAACAGCAGCTCCAAAACACACCCTGTCCTTCGTGGGCAGACTTGGCAGGAAAGCTACTTTAAACGCTGGTGTTGATAAACAACAGTTGCTACATTTTTTCGGGTTGTTCAAGAACGGTGTATTGGGGGGGGGAGAACTGTAAATTGAACGGTGTGTGTGTGTGTGAAACTGTAAATTGTGCAGCGTGTTTTAGGATCACTCGGATCTTTGTATTTCAGCCTAACAATCATTTGGCTGTCTAGCCTTGGGGAGGCTCTTTTAGATGTCTCAATCTGCCAAATCCCAGTCTGTGCTGAGCTTCCTAAAGCATGTGCTAACAGCCAGAATTAGAATCAGCAGAGAATAGGGCAGAGGAAAACAACAACAACTTCAAATATAACCCAGAGAGACTTCAACAGATCTTCTAGTCCATCCTCCTGCCCCAAAGCAGAGTAACTGAGTTATATTTATTTTTGGCAGATATTTGTCTGATTTTGAAAACTCCTGATAAAAGCCATTCTTTGGTCTATGTAATCTGTTCAATGCTTACCTATTCTACAGACACAGTTTTTCCTACTCAAAGTCATCTTTCTTTCCTGCAAAATTCCTATTCCATTCTTTGATAACAATCTTTAGGAAAAAAAAAATGAAAGCATGCTACTCTATTGCCTTTAAAGAAAAACATCATCTCTCAACCTTTCTGCTTTTGCTTTTCTCTGGGCCCTTAGCAGCATCAGAATTATCCTCCAGCCCTTCTTTGGGCTAATTGCCTACAGGTCAAGTATTGTTCTAAATAATTTATAATTTCAAGGGCAGAACTTGTCAGGGTCATTTGATATATTTCTGGATAGTCCTAAAGCCTGTTCTTCCTCTGTTCTGGCTTGTACTTCTTGATTATTAGCTGATGTATCCAAGTCTTTTTGGGGTTGGCAGGAGCAAAGGCAGCAGTTTATACCTCAGCTAACACCCTGGTGTTGGCAGCTAACACCTCTTCTGATGCAGAATCTCTGCAGGGCACCATTTTCTATGGATACCTCAGTTCAGACTGAACAGTGCAGGCATTAGCGGTGGCCTCTGCACAGCATTTTTTGGCGAGTTAAGTAGTGGATTGCAATGATGTAAACTGGAATTTAGCCAGGGCAGCAGGGTCACTCGCCTCTAAGGTTGCAAAAGACATTTAAATAATACTCTGAACAGCTCTGCATTTTAACTACTGCACTAAGAGCATGTAAACAGGAGAACTTGTCATAACAGAGTGTCTTCACAAGATGAAATCATTATCAGATGGCAGAAATGAATGAAATTTGTGTTCCTGTAAAGCTAACTCAGGATGAAATCCCTACTCTTCAGGAATCACTGACAAAGCACCCTTTGACTTTACAATCCAGAAACTTCACAAAGTCACATAGCCAACAACGAGGTGAAGTACTAAACCTTAAAATACTGCTATAAGCAGCTTTCTGAGTGTAGTTTGTGTAATTTGCAAGTGAACGTAGCCCAAGGTATTTATAAAGAACTTCCTGCTAATACGATTTGTAATACACGGAATGAAGCCCTTTAGGGAAATTCCATAGTGTGGCTGTAAGGAAAGTTACCACCCAGCTCTAGAACCTGCATATCAGCACTTCCTGAGGTTGTGGGTTCTTTCCTCAAACGCTTTGAACACGTAAGTGGCCACCATGGAAAGAAGCATTCCCACCTTCCAGCTAACATCTGCTGCCCACTCCTGTGCCAACACAAGCTGTTATTGCCTTTGTGGGGAACAGGCTGGGGAAAAAAATCTGCTTACAACAAAACCCAAGAATACATGAATAAATAGTTTAAGATGTTCACAGAACCACATTTCCACTGAGAACAGGGAAGGATTTTCTTCAAGATGTTTTTGTGTGCTCAGGAGATGAGGTTTTAATGTTATACATCCAAACCCCCACTCTTGTCACAGAGTCTGTCCCTTGTGCCAGGGGAGCTGCAACCACACCTAGAGCATTCCCAAGAGGTGATTGTTTGATGTGATACCCAAGACAGCTCAGCTCCCATGCAGCAACTCCTGGTTTTTCCTTGCACCCTCTTCCTCCTCTTCCAAACTAATAGGTAAATAAACAAATTTCAAATGAAGCAGTGGCCAGCAGTTCAAAGAAAATACTTTTAGACTGATACTAGCATGGCACTGAACTTGCTGAGGGGGGATATTCTCTTAGCTTCTAAAATGAAATGTTAAAGAATTATGAGGTTTTTAACATGTAATGAAGTATCACTATTGGAGCCATGACCTTTGTCCTCTGCTGACCTTTGCAGATGCAGCTAAGTAGCTAAGAATTAGGCTTATCATTCAAGAACAGACTCTGCAGCCATTAACTTGTCTAATTTCTTCATGGGAGGAAGAACAAAGAAATAGGTAGAAGGTGCCCAGAGAAGCAAGACATTTTTGCCAATTTTTCCAAATGGCTTTCTTATACTGCTAACTCCTTTATTTTAAAATAGCACAGAATTTAAATTATATCAGCCATAAAGCTGGTTATCAGTTTCTGTTTTTGATGCCTTAAATTATGTTTGTTTGCAATGCTACTTAGTCTAATATATTTTTAGATTTGAGACTGTGATCAAAGCTTCAAATGCCTTGGCTATTTGATTTCCTCTAATGACAAAAGGAATTTTCATTTCTTCCTCAAACCAGTAAAAGAAGCCAACAAACAAACAAACTCTACATTTTCTGAGATGTCATCTCTTTCATTTTTAGTCACTGACTTTACAAATAGTAAAGAAAAAGTGACCTGGCACTCTTGTAAAGTTTGCTACTCAAAGGCAATATATAATTTTCACCCAAGTCAGACACTTCTGCAATGAAAGCTTTTGTCCAGGCTAAGTTTCCTCTGTGCTCCTCTCCTAATTTCAGTCCTAGCTCTTCTGAGGAAGAAATACAGGGAAAGCAGGGGGATCTTTCACAGTCTTCCTTTTCCACTTTGAAAGTTAAGCTTGATGTAGCAAGAAGTTCGCAGCTTTCATTAAAATTTTGTAAAGACAAGTTTTCAGTATGAAAGACAACTAAAACAATTGAAGACCTGCCTCAG